CCAAAAAAAGATTCTGTATTTCCATAAGTGGGGTAAAACTTTGGAATAATTTAAGTGTGGACATAAAAAACAGTAAGAGAATTGATGAGTTTAAACACAAATATAAAGGTATGTGTCAATCAAGATATATGCAAGAACAGGCTCAATGATTAATGATTGTGGGTGTGGTGTATGAATGTTAACACTATGTAATAATTCTTTAGTATATTACTTGTGTGTGGTGGAGAAGGTAATTATCTAAGAATGTAATTATATAAGAATGTTAACAATCTGTAAAAATTTGTTTAGTATATTACTTGCGTGGTGTAGAACAAAATTATCTATGTAGAGATACTGCTTGCAAACCAATGATGGTAAGATGATGTTTGGGGGTAGGACTAGATAAGTCTAACTTCTTCCTACTCCGTTCAAGCATATACTAGGTATAAGCAAATTGATAATGGATTAGCATTTGTGGATATGTGTGAAATTATGTGTGTTGACATATCGACTGTCTTTACATGCTTGAAAGAATAAAATCAATCAATCAATCAATCAATTAATGCCCAGAGTCTGTGAACAGTCTGAGCCCTGGTTTTCTTGTAAAGGTTGTTGCACCTGGTGATGCTGTGCTCTCCGTGGCAGGAATCCCCATTAGCAGCCTCAGAGAGATCACCCTGCTCCTGAGGTTGAGACATCCCAACATAGTGGAGCTGAAAGAAGTGGTTGTAGGCAGCCAACTGGAGAGGTAGGAGGCTCATATATGCACCACCATAACTGTGTAGAAACAGTGTTTCACTGGTTTCTGACACCGTTCGGCTTAAGAATTCATTTTTTTCATACCAGTCATCTGTCTCATACTGTGGCTGGGAAAATATGCATATAGCAATATACTGTATCTGCCAGCTGTAAAAGGTTTTTAAACAGTGTTTAAATGAGAAAAGTAAACCTGCAGTATAACACTGTGTAAGTTTCGGGGCCAGACACATATTAGTTGATTAACAAGCAATGAGAATTATCTACAGCAGCGGTTGGCTTCACATCTGTCTGAGGAGTATGTAATGAAACTATCAGATGTCTATTGTATTTAACCCGGAGTATGAGAAGTTAACTGCGATGGATTGGCGACCTGTCCAGGGTGTATCCTGCCTTCACCCGATTGCCGGTCGGGATTGGGAAACTTCTACTTCAGCATACTTTCAGCTACTTCAGCTATCAAAATGTTCAGCTTTTCAAGGACATTCACACTACTATTCAGAAATTTTCTAAACTTCATACATTCATACATTTTAAATATTTAGCTTTATTTTGAAAATCTTGCCCCATTCAAATGAATGGGAAAATTCTACTTCAGCAAACTTTCAGCTATTTCAGCTATCAAAATGTTCAGCTCTTCAAGGACATTCATACTACTATTCAGAAGTTTTCTGAACTTCATACATTTTAAATATTTAACTTTATTTTGAAAATCTTGCCCCATTCAAATGAATGGGGAAATTGAACTTCAGCATACTTTCAGCTATTTCAGCTATCAAAATGTTCAGCTCTTCAAGGGCATTCATACTACTATTCAGAAGTTATCTAAACTTCATACATTTTAAATACGTACGTTTTTTGGCCCTTAACTAGTTCCGCATACTTTCAGCTAGAATAACCATTCAGGTATCAAAATGTTCAGCTTTTTCAGGACATGCGTGGACCTATTCAGAATTTTCCTAAACTTCATACTTTTTGAACTATTTTGTGTTTTTTAGCAAAATTCTGCCCATTCAAATGAATGGAGAAATTCAACTTCAGCATACTTTCAGCTATTAAAATGTTCAGCTCTTCAAGGACATTCATGCTTTTATTCAGAACTTTTGTAAACTTCATACTTTTGGAATATTTAGCTTTATTTTGAAAATCTTGCCCCATCCAAATGAATGGGAAAATTTTTGTTTTTGCATACTTTCAGTTATTTCAGCTATTAAAATGTTCAGCTCTTCAAGGACATTCATGCTTTTATTCAGAACTTTTGTAAACTTCATACTTTTAAAATATTTAGCTTTATTTTGAAAATCTTGCTCCATTGAAATGAATGGGAATATTCTACTTCAGCATAATTTCAGCTATCAAAATGTTCAGCTCATCAAGGGCATTCATGCTTCTCTTCAGGATTTTTTTAAACCTAATAACTTTGAAATATTCAGCTTTATTTTGAAAATCTTGCTCCATTGAAATGAATGGGAATATTCTACTTCAGCATAATTTCAGCTATCACAATGTTCAGCTGTTCAAGGGCAGTCATGCTTCTATTCAAAAGTTTTCAAAACTTCATATTTTTGAAATATTTAGCTTTATTTTGAAAATCTTGCTCCATTCAAATGAATGGGGAAAATTCTACTTCAGTATACTTTCAGCATAATTGCAGCTATCAAAATGTTCAGCTCCTCAAGGACATTCATGCCTCTCCTCAGAATTTTCTTAAACTTCATACTTTTAAATTATTTAGCTTTATCCTGAAAATCTTGCTCCATTCAAATAAATGGGGAAATTTCAACTTCAGCATACTTTCAGCTATCAAAAGCATTCAGGTGTCAAAATGTTCAGCATTTTCAGGGCGATTTTTCAGCACTCAGCATCCATACGCATTTTCTTCAGAAAATGCAATTTTCTAGTTAAATTTTTGTGACCTGGGTCACCACAAGCTGCTTTACAGCTTTCTGTTAACACTTAATCATCTTTCTGTGTGTTTCCCCTCAGTCTGTTTCTGGTGATGTGTTACTGTGAGCAGGACCTAGCCAGTCTGCTGGAAAACATGCAGACACCGTTTTCTGAGGCTCAGGTAGGACAGACAAAGGTTCCTTAATTTGGCCTTTAAGTCGTTTTTGTGCTTGGGGTTAATTTCTAACAAAATTCAAAGTCATTCTCATGTTTTCATTTATTTGTACAAGTAGATTTGTTGCATCTTTCTCAGGGAACCACCTGCTAAACTCATGTTTAGTAAGAGGTTTCACTTGACTGTCTTAACATGTAGAAAAACTTCACCAGTTATGCCCAACCAGAGGTCCCACGATAAAGGGGATCACAATATTATTAATGGGCTAAGACAGGAAAGTATGTATAGAGAGAGTTCTTTTATGGAAGTTGTTTATTTGGCTTTTTGCACAATAGTGCAGTTTGAGAAATGAATGCAAATATCACACTGCAGGCATGATATAAAATAAAACGCATTTGACCAATATCAGTTGTAAAGCATCAGAAACATGATAGTACTCTTTAAGGCAATAATTTGTCATTGCTTTTGTTTTTATTCATTAATCATTAATTATTCATCACATTTTGACTCTGTCAGGGGTAGCACCAGGGGTGACCAGTCAAATTCTGGGGGTGGGTGGTGCCACCCTGGCCACCCTTTGGTTCTCCCCATGACAGTGCGTCCTAATTTGGACATCAGTAATTTAGTCTACATTACTTGTTAACTGCAGTGTTAGTTTGTGTTGTGCATTAGAATCTTTTCTTTTCTTATAATCTTTCCCAGGTAAAGTGTATTGTTCTTCAGTTACTCAGAGGCCTGGAGTACCTCCACCACAACTTCATTATACACAGGTCAGGACCAGGCATTTACTGGAAACTCTCCTTTGTTTTGTAAAAACAATTGAACTGTGACTCCTGCTCTATATTACATTTTTACATAGATGCTATCATTTGTCAGACATAGAGGCTAATGGCAGTGTCTGTACCAAGAACAGTTAGTTGATAAAAAATCAGCTTGTTAGTGGACTAGCTGTCAACTTTCTGGTCAACTAACTCTCATCAATGTGTAGAATAGAAAAGACATGAAACAGAAGCTAACATTAGTAGCTAGTTGTTGCATGTTAGCATGGGTTGCTTTGCTAAGCTAGTGAGGTGTTAGCTAGCTAACGGTTTCTTCGGGTAAACTAAATTGGCCGTGTACATTTCAGATATTCGAGTAGTAGACTCTGTCTCAATAAGTATTCTGTATGTAGTTAATATTTATGTGTAGCTTAAACTTAGGCCTCCAGTGACGGTGCTGGCACCTGCTAACATGTGACACAATGGCAAAGATGTAATATTGTATATTTATGAGTAACAGAAAATGATTTAGAAGTTTTAGAATAAATACACTTTGACTCCTGGGAGAAATATCTTGGAGGTGTATAGAATACAGTGTTTTGTTTCAGCGCCCGGTAGCATTTAAATCACTAAATTTCTTATCAGCAGGATTCAATATTTCCATTGTAGCAACAATTCAGTTTATTTATTCAGCTGATTATTAATGGTAAATGTCAGGTCTGGGAGTCAGTCTCATAACCTAAGAGCAGGGACTATTTTCAGCGCTGCTGTTCACTAATGCCCAACAGTCTAAAAGTGACACATCGAATATAAAATATGAAAGAGGCAGAGATCTAGCACGGGTGCAGTGCTGCCACATTATGTTCTCACTTTCCTGGACTGGAGAACTGCTGCTCCTGCCATGCTGTCCTCTATAATCTACAGCTGACTGCAGCGAGTTCAGGCCTCTTCTCTTGAGTCTGTTATTTTAAGGAAGGCAGGAAAATGTGTTACTGACATTTAGGCAACTTGGGTAGAGCAAATCATGTACTTCATTACTTTATGATACATGATATTTATCTTTAGTACTGTAATTAATAATATATCAGACACTTTCAGTGCAGCGGTTGGTTTCTCTAAGAGGACTGATCTAGTTTATCAGTGCCACAGTCACATCAGAACTAATTAAAGGTGCTAAGAGAAAGCTACAGGCCTGTAAGAAGTGCTTTCTGGTGAGAGCTTGTTTTGAGTTTCACTAGACCCTCTAGTGGCTGCAAAGAAATTAGTTGGTGTTCTTTTAAGGAATCTTGAACATCAATGTCAAAATTAATCATTCAGCTATGTCACAGTTCACCACTGCTGGGATGAAAAGACCTTAAGTAGGGGCGTTGCCCAGTCGGCCATCTTTACCACAGCTAAACAGTGTGCAAAAGCTTGCACTGTAGCTTATAGCTGTTACAGCAAAGGTTTAGCTTTGCTTTTCATTCATCTCTGCACTTGTAGGGAGAGGGTTGCAGGCACCGTATCTCTGGCTGCTGGCTAACTCCTCTTCTTGTTGTCAGGGACCTGAAGGTGTCCAATCTGCTGATGACAGACAAAGGCTGCGTTAAGATTGGTGAGTCATGGTTGTTTCCACAGCCGCTGCTACACCTATCATCACATTATGACTGTTCAGACTTAGAACCCAAATGGTGCCATCACTGACCTTTGACCCCTGGCAGTGAATGGCTCAGACTCAACATACAGCACCCATTCTCCTTAGACCCTTGATTCTGAAACCAGCAGTACTTTCTGACGTTCACCCTGTCTGGATGCTCAGTCCCAAGTCCACTGGTTCCTACTTAAGACAAACAGTTTTATTTTTACAGTTTCTTAAAACAGCAGCAGTGTAGGTTTTAGCAAATGTCACACACACTGGAGGAAACAGTACAGCTTTTGGGACTATTAATACCCACCTGGTGCTCTAGTAAGTCCTGGCGACAGGATGGTGTTTATGGGGCAAAATAAACTACTGTCTGTGTGTGTGTGTGTGTGTGTGTGTGTGTGTGTGTGTGTGTGTGTGATATGGAGTTCATGATGTGTGTTCATGATATGGAGCCCAGAACCTCTCACTGATGTGTTTTAATAGCTCTTAGACAACAATGCAGCTCTGTGACACATCAGGTGTCGGACACATCACCAAAGATAAAATGGGATGTGTATACACATGAACTCTAGGTAGTGCTAGTATTCTTATGGCTGTGTTTTTGTCCTTTTCTCCCTGTATACAGCTGATTTTGGGTTGGCCAGGATGTACGGCATCCCCCAGCAGCCTATGACCCCCAGAGTGGTTACACTGTGGTGAGTGTGTACTGGGCCACTTTAAATTGTGTGTGCAACATCTTCTGTGGAGAGCCCTTGCTTACATTGTGTTTGTGCAGGCTCAGTGGAAACTCTTCCTTTTAAGCCTCAGTAATGCTTCTTTAATAGCTCTCTTACCACAGGCTGGCTGAGTGTGTCACAGTATGTCCTCCCTCCCCCCGTCATCTGTCTGCAGGTACAGAGCTCCAGAGCTCCTCCTAGGGACCAAGACCCAGACTACCGCTCTGGACATGTGGTGAGCCTCTGTGCATGATAATGTTACATTAAGGGGAGAAATTAGATTATCTACATCTAAGCACTCCCTCCAGTTTCACAGGTTTAGTATCCATCACCTATATGAGAACCTTTACAGGAGTCTACTTTAAAATCATTCCACACCACATTAAGAGCCAACAGGAAGTGATGGCGGGAGTCGCCGACAGCATTAAGGTTGTGCTGCTGTGTGCTTTGCAGGGCGGTCGGCTGTATCCTAGCTGAACTGCTGGCTCACAAACCTCTGCTGCCTGGAACCTCTGAGATCCAGCAGGTCGACCTGATAGTGCAGCTGCTGGGGACACCCAATGAAAACATCTGGCCGGTGACACTTCAGCACTCAGTACCTCTTCAGCATTAGCTAAAACTTTCATGTGTGATGTTAAAGATTGAATCTGTGTGTCCCAGGGTTTCTCTCAGCTACCCCTCATTGGTCAATACACTCTGAGGAAGCAGCCATACAACAACCTAAAGAATAAATTCACCTGGCTGTCTGATGCTGGACACAGACTGCTCAACCTGCTCTTCATGTACAACCCACAGCGCAGGTAAACCCCCGCGCGCAAACACACACACACACACACACACACACACACACACACACACACACACACACACACACACACGTCTTCATTCCTTTAGCCTTCTACCATTGCCCAGTGGCGCTGCCTTGGTCAGGAGTCAGGAGGGCAGGAGGCTGGAGTCAAAATAGTGTCATCCTGGTGGCTGATAAAATGTCATTCCTCTTGAAAAACCATATTCTCAGGTTAACTTGATTAGATAACCTAGAAAGGTCAGGAATCAGGCATTTCCTAGTCAGGAAGAGATCACTTCATTTTCTAAGGTTCATTCATGTCTGCACAGATTCATGTTGTCTGGTAACACCAGCTGGGGAGTCGTGGTTTCAGAGGTCAAACTGCTCCTCTGATGACCTCTGAGGAGTCCTGGAGTCTCTCGTTCTACTGTCAGTCTCTAAGATGTAACAGCATACATGCTGCCATGTCTGATGTCAGCCATCATGTTAGCGTGAAACCTGTTTACTGTTCTATGAAGGGAGAGTGGATTCTTTCCCTGGCATGCATCTCTGCAGGCTTTAACAGTATTGGTGTCATTGTCATGAATTCATAACACAAATCTGATTTAAACACAGTTTAGCTATTTTGATGTTTGCACATTTTCTGAAGCGCCACCAGAAACTGATGTGTTTTCCTGATCCAGGGCTACTGCCAAAGATTGCTTGGAGAGTTCCTACTTCAAAGAGAAACCTCTGCGTGAGTGAAAAGGTTTTGGCTATGCATCAGCTTTGACCTCCGCCCTCTGAGGTGTGCCATTAATTGCGTTTCTCTGCTCCCATGTAGCATGTGAACCAGAGCTGATGCCTACCTTCCCCCACCATCGCAACAAACGGGCCGCTGCTCTGGCAGAGAGCCACTCGAAACGGAGCAAAGTGTGATCGGAATGGTGATGATGATGATATTCTCGCTCAGAGGGTGGACCATGGCTTCTGTTTCCACTGCATGTGCTCTTAGAGGACATTGAGGGATCTTACTATGGAATTTTCAGCTAATGAGAACTAGTTTTTCACCTTAAGTCAAGTCAGCACAGGACTGGTTACACGAGACTTTACAGCGTTGAGGATAATGCTGATGCTTGACTCTTTAAAAAGGATGCAGTCGCACATTTTGCAATGTAGATGTAGTTGTTTTGCAGCACTGTGTTGTAATTATAGGAGGTTTATGGAGTATTTCTTCCAGTTTGTATTGTTGCCAAGGTCTGTACACTAAATAGGTTCAAGGTAATGAGGTTTCCATGAAAAATCTACCGAGGTATTGTGCCAGGTTAGCTCCCTGTCGCTAGTCTTTATGCTGAGCCAAAGGGCTGCTGGTTGTAGCTTCATATTTACTGTGCAGAGATCAGAAAAGTACAGGGAGAGAGAGAGGAGACACAAAGTTAGTGATGTGTAATGGTGGCATATAGAATTGGGAGAGGAAGGAGAGGGGAGGAGAGAAACTCAGAGCATCATGGGGCCCCCCAGTAGGACAAGCAGCATAACTAAGGGAAGGCTCAGGGTCACCTGATCCAGCCCCAACTATAAACTTTATCAAAAAGGAAAGTCTTAAGTCTACTCTTAAAGGTAGAGAGGGTGTCTGCCTCTGAACTGAGACTGGGAGTTGGTTCCACAGGAGAGGTGCTTGAGGCTCTGCCTTATTAAGCATATTTAGTAAAATGTCCAACTATACCTTTAAGAGCCCCAGCTTGAATATTCAAGATTTCCTGTACAGTGACCTCGTTATTAGCCAATGAACAGGTAGAACATGGGATATTTACCTAACTGGGATAGAAGCTTCTGATGTTATTGTACA